TTGGGTACTATGACTGTGTTAAATTTCGTGCAGATCGCTTCAACCGTTCAGGAGGAGTATTTGTAAAACAAAAGCAGGAGTGTAGTATAAGAGCTTCGCTCGCTCCGCTAAATAAAATTGTTTGGATAAGGGGCTACTAATTATAAATATTAAAGAAATCATACTAACTCAGTACTGGTACCCTGAAATATTTTTTTATTATTTTAAACTCTGAGTAAAAAAAAAATCAGGGTACTGAGTTAGTATGCTTTCTTTAATAAGCCTATATCTATATAAATAAAATTAGAGTTTTGTCTGTACATTGCTCAGAATCATAAAGTTTTAGGTTATTTTTACGTTTTATACATTAAAGAAGCCGAAACAAGTCTCATCTAAATTTCTGTCTGTCTGTCTGTCTTTCTGTAACACTCAAGATGGCATTTTACGCAATCTTCTCCAGGAAAACAAGAGTACCTATCACGATCCAAGTCATTTTAATATATTCACTGGATTGGCGAGAGTGTCTTTAGCCATTAAAATATGGCCTCACTACTTTGTAAATAAAATTACGGACATTCAAAAATGCAGTTTTGTGCGATTTTTGTCAAGTTTTCGTCCAATTTTTATCACATAATCATCTATGAAATAACGAACAGCTGTTCGGACCAAGATTATTTTTGCTAGCTGTCACTGATATGTTTACAAATGTTGTTTACAAATACCACAACCATTTCCGATCACATTTTGAAGGCAAATCCTAACCAAGTGAGATTAAAAACGTTTTTCTTACATAACGGATTTAATTAATCGCAAGTGGAATAATATAGTGTAACCGTAAATGAAATTAAATAACTAGGCGTCATCCAGGTCAGGAACCAGATATTCTTTGTGTATAAAATTGTTCTTGAGGTTAGATAACCAGAAAGAAGACCTTGAATCAGTGTTGTATAGGGCTGGGAAACTTAAATTTATTAATGATCGTCGCCAATAGCTACAAACAAGGTTTCCACTCATTGACGGCGCTTCAATGGTGGTTGTGTAAAGTGTAAAGTAAACAACTGCAGTGGGTGATTAACAGAGGTTTATGGTTTATGGATGATGCTAAACTCGCTTTTCCAATGTGTCACTTTCTGTTCCTACTTACCGTGTGATGCAATCGCTGGACCATACAGCCAATAGGCCCATAGCCCATCTCTTGGGTACTTACGCCTACCCAATTATTCATTACAACCTTTTTGACGACGATCCTTGATACCGGTACTTTTCCCTAGAATACACAGCCTCCCTACTTAAGAAATAAAATCACAAACGTCCAAAAACCCAGCATTGTGTGATTTTTGTCACATTTCTTTCTAATGTTAATAAATATACCAATCATTGTTTAGAGAATACGTAATCTATTAAATAACAAAAAATTGTTTGTATAAGGTTGTTTTTTTTCAAACTGACACCAATAAGTTTAGGCCTACATTAAAAGTTGTTTACGAATAAAGCAATTAATGGGAAATAACTTTGATTGCCGATAACTTTTTATGAGAAAATTCAAAACCAAGAAATCAATAACTTTGGGACTTGATTAACACATTTAATTGGTCGAATGTACTTTAGTTGCTAACTGTAAACGTTGGTTTTTGGTACTGGTTCTCTTCCTTAGAACCATTGGTAGCAGCAAGAATCATTTTTACGTACCAACACATCACTGTAATTTACAAATTAGTTATCGTTGGTATTGCACCTTATTTATACAGTCGTATTCAGTTTAATTGATGTCTTAACTGTATAAGTTTTGCTTTTTCTGTCTGGATTCCAAAATGTTAGTTTATGCTATGAAAATGATAACTCATTTAAGTAAAACATTTGTTTAGCAAACCATCGTGAATTGTTTATGATTTACGTTGTTTATGTATTAATAGTTCGTGGCCTATTTTGGTAATTTGTATTATAAATTACGGTACCAATCTAAATCGTCTATAGTACTTAATTTCATAGAGTAATCAGTCATTTCGACAGCATTTCGCGTCATCTTCGGTCCAAGCAAATATAAATTGTTATGATAAAATTTGATGACATTGACAAATATTTCAAATATTAATTTTATATGTACTTTGTTATGCTTAAAACGTAACAAATTCCCTAATTAAGTTCTGTAACTTATTTTTGTGTGTATGTCTGTTGGTAACGCATTAATGTCCTTATTTCTTAGTGTCACGAAAAGGACAAGTTGAGCACCTTTGATAATGAAAATGTCAACCCGAATAAAGTGTTAAATGGTGAGGTTGAGGTAGTACTTTAAATACTTTTAACCATTGTGGAAAGTAACTTTCAACTATAGGCCTACCTTAGGGCTATGACTCATAGATCTATTTCTCATAGTAGGCCTATAAAGCTTTTTTAGTTTAATCATTGGATTTAACATATGGACTAACATATGGGGTGACATGACATTTAATTGCGAAGCGTTTGTTTTGGCTTGAAACTGTCAGATACTGTATTTGCGAAGATGTATATATAATAGTTTTGCCAGCATATCTGAAAATATGCAAACCAACTGCTGTTCTTAATATAAGAAGGTTTCAACTGACTACTATAAGATCCCCGTGCGTAGAACGGGCACACAGCTAGTATATATATATATTTATATATATATATATATATACAGGGTGTCCTGTAAGTAAACAGCCAAACTCCGGGAAATGGTTCTATGGGTCAAAATAAAGAGAAAATCTGGAATAACATTTTTTCCAAAGTCGCTTTGTTTTACAACCAGATACCCTATCCGCCATTTTTAATTTTTCTCATAAACATTTTTATTTTTGGATTTTTTCAACCGATCTATATAAAACTTGGTGGGTAGGTTAAGGTAGAAGGGACCTGTGTTAGAAAAAAAAAGTTCATATTGATCAAACTAAAAATTTTAAAATGGCGGTGATTTTAATTCTTTAATCTTAAATAACTCAAAAACGGATAATTTTATGAAAAAATGCCAAGAACACTTTTATTTAGCATTTCGAATTCCCTTTCAAAAAAAGATCAAAAAGATCGAATAAGAAATGGCTGAAATATTACGATTTTTTGTTGTAAAATGGGGCAAACCTGACTAGCTCCTGCCTTATTCTACCCCATTTTACAACTAAAAATGTAATATTTCAGCCATTTCTTATTCGATCTTATTGAACATGACATTGTTTGAAAGAGAATTAAAAATGCTAAATAAAAGTTTAGTGTCTTTGGCATTTTTTCATCAAATCAGCTGTTTTTGAGTAGTTAGAAATTTAAGTTTAAAAAATTAAAATGGCCGCCATTTTGAAATTTTAAGTTGAATCAAGATGACTTTTTTTCTCACATGGATCCCCTCTACTTTAACATACATACCAATTTTTATAAATATTGGTTGAAAAAGTACACAAATAAAAATGTTGTATGTAAAAAATACAAAATGGCAGATATCTGGTTAACAAAGTGATTTTGGAAAAAAATGTTGTTCTTGATTTTCTCTTTATTTTGACCCATAGAACCACTTCCCGGAGTTTGGCTGTTTACTTTCAGGACATCCTGTATAAATATATGAATTTGAACGGATGGTGTTTTTTTCCTCTAGGGACCTCAAAACGAAAAGGTAAATCGGTCCAGGTCTTACCATGAGTACTACGGTAATAGCTTATTCCCTAATGAGAAATTAGCTAAATGGAAAAATCTGTGTACTCCTCAATACTATTATGAAAAAAGTCAAACAGTTTTTGTGTGCAAACCTTATTACACTCACTAATATCGTCAACTTCCACCCAAGCCGGACACCAGGCATTTAAGACCCTCCAAACCTTATGGCTAGCCACACATTAGTTAGCCTTCTATAGATTGCACATGACAGGATTTGAGCTTATGCATGTTGAAAGACCTAAACTCTACAGTTGTGAGTGCAACACCTAAGCCAACTGAGCTACCATGTCACCATTGCCCAAACTCGATGAGTGCCACTATTAGCACTTATTGACACAAGCAGTCGCAGGTAACATTTGACGAACTATCTAAGCGCAAGAGGGTTTAGGATATATCGTTGTTTTAAAAAATCTCTAAGGGATATAGAGAGGAAGGTTATTTACAAAAAGTAGCAAAACGGCCATTGGTGACCTGCATGTTCATAGGATACACTAACAACCACTTAGCTAAAAGATTCGCCCAATCCGATGATTTCGAGGTGTATGTCTAAACCAAGGATTATGAGCACCTCACTATGCCCCAGTGGTTGTAGTACAACAAACACAAACACACAGGTCACCAATTATTTGCCACACAGGACGGGAATCGAACCCGAGCAGACAAATGCCACTGGCCAAGTGACACACGCCCTAGCCTTCTCGGCTATCCGTGCTTGAAGACTGAAGAGTCAAAAACCGGTATTTAAGCTGACACCACCGATTGCGAACAGATAGCGCTACAGATGGTTGTTCAATGCGTTACTAGGTAGCAGCACTAGTTAGTCACGGACTATTTAGATGATAGCCTATTTTTCAGTTAAAACACAACAGTGATCATAAATGTGTTCCTGAGACTTTGCTGCAAAACATTATTTTCCTTAAAATGGCTATATAACGATAACCTCGTCCAACTAAATCAAAGTTCAATTCAATATTACATTGTAAACTATATGTCTTTTGATTTTGTGAGATTTTGGTTACAAACAATGCTATCAGAACATAAAATTGTATAGGAAAATCGGAAAATTACAACAAAAACTAAGTTTTATTTAATGTTTACTACAAATACCGGGATTTATCTTTGTTATTTATTTTCTTACTGTCTTATTATTCAAAATTAGCCTAATTAATAAAATAGTGACAACATTATACAGTTAAAATTCAACAACAGGTAATGGAATTGAAAGGCAAACAAAAAAGTCTTACGAAATACAAATTATTGGCCTAGCACTGAAAGGGTTAAGACTAGTCCAATCTAGATAAGAAGAGACTTATTGAAAATCTTAAACTCGATGGATTTTTTGTATGGATTTTAATTGTACTTACCCTGAAAATGTCAAAATTAGGAAACTGATGCGACCAAGGTGAATAGCTGTCCATTGTTTGCTTTCCTTGCTCATGGCCAGCCTAAAACACAATAAATGTAGCTTTTTATAAATTACATCTAATGGCAGAAAATACAAAAATGAACTAAGTTTTGGAAAAGAGCATTACCATACTCAAACTAACAGGTAAAGAAGAGTTTAAGTATCTTGATGTGGACTTGTAAAAGTAGGCCTAGACAGTTCTAGTTTTTTTTTAAAGTGTTTTTAAGTTTTTTTTTTTTAGAAACTGGTTAACAGTCAACTGTAAGTTACAGGTCAATGACATCACATGACTTCAAGGATTGTTTCAGTAGTTAGGCAGTACCGGTAATAACAATATTACAAACAAAAATTCAACACCAAAATTCAACAAAGAGTATGAGGAAGACGTATATTCAAAGCCAATGGGGCAAAGGCTGCAAATTATTTAGTAAAACCACTCAATGGATCAAAGTATGTGTAGTGAATAAAATACAACTAAACTTACCTTAGATGATTTTTAATTGTTTAATATGTTCATTGTCATTTGCTATTAGTAAATACTCAGCTTTGTTTATATTCCATCATAATGCAATTCCTTGTTCATAGTTCAGTTTTAAGATTAATAAAACCCTTTATTCTGTGTGTAATTAATCTGGGGTTTTACTTTCATAACAGTATGCCATCCTGTTACTTATTTAGGACCCAGAACCTAGCTTAAACGTTCTAAAATCACTTTGAAACTATTCTAGAAGGATGTTGTAGTATATTTAATGATTTTATGTATTCAATATTATAGTTGTAAAACAGCGTTTCTTGTAGGAAACCAGATTTGTATAAAATGTAACTGTGTGTTAGTGTGTGTGTACATCACGCCACGTCTGTGACGTCATATCAGGTGATTTTTAATAAATTCCCATTGGCTGCCGCGACCACGCTATACCCGTGCATCTAACCACCAAGTCAGTCCGTCCTAGTCCTGCAACCGTACACCTTTATCCCGGTCCGTGCAGCCCGTGGTATTATCTAATTATGTAGTTCTTATTTCTCACTAGTCCCGTCTCCCGTCAAGTTAAGACGTCGTCACACCGGCGACGTCACACTGGCGACGAGGAAGTTACAGTGATAACGATGGCGTTATTAAGAACCTAACTATTCGTGTGTGCGGTGTAACTGTTCGACCGTATTTTTATAAGTATTAGGGTTAATGTCCGATTACGACAACCCAGTGTTAATTTTATCTCGTGTCTTCTTTGAACAAGATACAATGTCTGGAATCATCGGCGGAATCGGCGACTTTGACGGGAGTGAAGAATCTTGGACCTCGTACGTTGAAAGGTTTGAGTTATTTGTCGAGTGTAACGGGATTAGTGATGCCAAAAAAGTGAGTACTTTATTGACAGTAGTCGGGAAGAAAACATACAATCTGTTACGCGATTTGTGCACGCCCGATAAACCTAACGCAAAATCTTTTAAAGATATAGTAAAGTTAATTCAGGATCATTTACATCCTAAACCATCATTCATCGCGGAACGTTACAAGTTTAGTAAACGCAACCAATTAGAGGGGGAAGGAGTTGCCGAATACGTAGCAAATTTGAAGATGTCCACGCACTGTGAGTTTGGCGCATCGTTGAACGACTTTCTTCGAGATCGTCTAGTTAGTGGAATAAGAAGCGACACTATCAAACAGAAACTGTTATCAGAGTCCAGTTTAACGTTTGATCAAGCTGTGAAAATCGTCTCATCAGCGGAAGCGGCGGAGAAGAATGCAGCGGCGTTGACGGTCGGCAGCAGCGGCGGCAAGGTGTTGCGAGTGGCAGCGGCACAACGACGACGAGATTCAGGGAGCAGCGGCGGCGCCCAGCAGCACAATCAAACGTCAAAGTCAACACCTCGACCTCAACACAAATCAGTGCAGTGTTTTTGTTGTGGTGGCTTCGGTCACATGAGAAATGAGTGCAGATTATTGGGTGTTGTGGTATGTCATTTTTGTGGAAAAAAGAATCATTTAGCTAAAGTGTGCAGATCAAAGCTGTTAGGTAAGTCAAACAAAACTTATACTTTTAGTTTTAAGAATGATAAGAACAATTTGAAAACTGAAAGGACTAATGGACAGTTTAGTAAAAACAACAAAATGCATAACTTTGTTTCTGACAGGAAATCTCAGATAAATTCTAATGATAGTTGTGATGAGTATGTTTACGATATTGCTACACTATTTCAAATTGAGGACGAAATTGAGGTAGCTAATAATAGTAATGTCAACGTTAAAGTAGCTCCACTTAAAATTGATGCTATTGTAGAAGGTAAACAAGTCACGTTTGAAGTTGACACTGGAGCTAGTGTCAGTGTTTGTAGTGAGGATTTTTACAACAAAAATCTGTCATTTTGTAAATTACAGCCTAATGATCTATCCTTAAGTTCGTATACTAACGAACCTATTGTCCCTATTGGTAAAATAAAAGTGAATGTTAGTTACCAGGATTTCAAGGATAACCTAGATCTGTATGTGATTAAAAAAGGCGCACATCCATTAATGGAGCGTAATTGGCTTCAAGCATTAGGGGTAAATATATCGTTCAAAACCAATTTGTTGAGTGACAAAAATTTTAAGTTGTTATCACACAATGAGCAGTTTGACAAAATCGTAGTTGAGTTGCAAAAAGAGTTTCCAAAAGTTTTCAGTGACAAGTTAGGTCAGTACAAGGGAGATCCTGTAGAGCTTAAATTAAAAGAGAATGCTACTCCCAAGTATTTCAAACCTAGACCGATACCTTTTTCGTTGAAAAGTAAAGTAGAGGCAGAGTTAGAAAGATTACAAACTGAGGAAGTTTTAGTACCTGTAAGTAGCTCATCTTGGGGGACGCCTATCGTCCCAGTTTTAAAGAAAAGTGGGGAAATTAGAATCTGTGGGGATTTTAAAGTAACTTTAAATCCATTCCTAGAAGTGGAAAAATATCCTCTACCTAGAATCGAGGAGCTTTTTGCTAATTTACAAGGTGGACAAACCTTTAGTAAAATTGATCTCAGTCAAGCTTACATGCAACTTAAATTAAATGACGAGTCAAAGAAATTATGCACTATCAGTACTCATAAAGGGCTATTTTCCTATCAGAGAATGCCATATGGCATCTCATCAGCTCCTGGCATTTTTCAAAAGGTCATTGAACAGACACTCCAAGGGTTGGAAGGTGTGGCAGTATTCTTGGATGATATTTTGATTACAGCTAAAGATACTAACACTCATTTGAGTAGATTACGGGAAGTTCTCACACGGCTAAATGATAAGGGGTTTACCATCAAAAAGAGTAAATGCAAGTTCTTTTCAGACAAATTAGAGTATTTGGGATTTTGTATCGACAAGGAAGGTCTCCACACCTCCCAAGCCAAGGTTGAAGCAATAGTAAAAGCACCTGTACCTAAGAACGTAACTGAAGTAAAAGCTTTTATTGGTTTAGTAAACTACTACGGAAAATTCATTCCTAACATGTCTACCATTCTGAGTCCTGTATATAATTTGCTTAAGAAAGATGTTCCATTTAATTTCAATGCTGAATGTATGCAATCTTTCAACAAGGTTAAAGAATTATTGACAAATGCCCCTATTCTTGCTCATTATGACTCGAGTTTGCCTGTAATATTAGCAACTGACGCAAGTTCAACAGGGCTAGGTTGTGTGTTAAGTATCAAAACAAGTGAAGGAGTAGAGAAACCTGTTGCGTATTTTTCACGTACTTTGTCACCCACTGAAGTTAAGTATAGTCAGGTAGAAAAAGAAGCTCTGGCCATTGTTTTCGGTGTTAAAAAGTGTAACCAGTACTTGTATGGCAGAAGGTTTACCTTATGTACAGATCATAAACCATTAATAAGTATTTTTGGCCCTAAGAAGGGGTTGCCAGTTTTTGCAGCTAGTAGGCTACAAAGATATGCTTTGTTTTTGTCAGGCTACATTTTTGACATCAAATACGTTAAGTCAGCAAGTCATGGTAACGCAGACGCTCTGTCACGATTACCACTACAAGTTCCACATCCGATGGAAAGTAATGATTTCCAATGGCAAGGCACATATTTAAATTGTATTTTTGAAAGCTCAGTGCCACTAACCTTTGAACACGTTAAAGTCGAAACGCAAAAAGACCCTATTTTACACAAAGTGTGTAGCTATGTCCTGCATGGATGGTCTAGTTTTTTGCCGGAAGAGAGAGGTGATATGTTACCTTATTTCCAAAGGAAGGAAGAATTGACTGTAGAAATGGGCATTTTAATGTGGGGTTACAAAGTCGTGGTTCCTAATTCTATGAGGGATTATGTTTTAAAAGAGTTACATTGTAGTCATATGGGAATCGTAAAAATGAAGTCAGTGGCAAGGTCGTATATTTGGTGGCCAAATATAGACCAAAACATAGAAGCCTTAGCAAACAGCTGTTCTTCCTGCCTTATGGAACGTTCTAACCCAACTAAAAGTTTCTTGCATAATTGGCACTATCCATCTAAGCCTTGGGAAAGAGTACATCTGGACTATTTTGGACCAATAAGAGGCAAAATGTTTCTAATTGTAGTTGATGCTCATACCAAGTGGCTGGAGGCTTTTGAAGTAGGTTCCACCTCAGCCAAACAAGCAATTGTACATTTAAGAGATTTGTTTGCTAGATTTGGTTTGCCAGTAACTTGTCACAGTGACAATGGTCCACCATTCACATCACTTGAGTTTAAACAGTTCCTAAAGTCAAATGGAGTAATACAAACTTTCTCACCTCCCTATCATGCCCAATCAAACGGCCAAGCCGAGAACTCAGTAAGATATGCTAAAACTAAGCTTAAATGTGCACTAAATGACAACACTGATTTTAATGTTGCTCTAAGTCGTATATTGTTTGACTATAGAAACTCCGTGCATGCTGTTACCAATGAAACTCCAGCTATGCTGATGTTTAAACGTCCCCTAAGGACCAGGTTAGATTTGTTAAAACCTAACTTACCAAGTCATGTTGAGTGTAAACAAAACAAACAAAGAGAGTATTTTGGTGGCAGTAAAACCAGAGTTCTGTACCCAAATCAGTC